GGAATCATTGCAGAAGTATTGAAGAGCAGACGCTCGAGCAGGTGCTCAGAAGTGGGAATAGCTCTAGCAGTGGCCTGTGTCGTTAGAGGGGGAAACGAGCCTCTGTGTGTCTCATAACTAAATGTACCCACTGTATGCTTATTTCCTTTTGTTCTTTAGTCTTGCCACATTTCCTTTTCAGTAGTGGCAGTGACCATGAGAAAGATCAAGTAAGTAAATTGTGTTGGACTGCCCTGGGCCCTCATGGGTTACACAACTTTTTTTTTTTTTTTCCCCTCAAAATACTCCAGCAATATGAGAACGATGAACCAGAAGTTTGCCATTATGTCCACTTCTGCCAATAGAAACGGCAAGAATCGTGGTGGTGCACACCCGTAATCCCAGCTACTGGGAAGGCTGAGATGGGAGGATTGCAAAGTTGAGGCCAGTTAGGCTAACTTAGCAAGACCCTCCCTCAATAAATAGAAGAGCTGGGCATGTCACTTAGTGGTGGAGTGCATCTGGGTTCAGTACTGAGTACTGCAAAAAAAAACCCCGAAAACCTATAAGGGCTTCCAAACATTGAGTATGAATCATAGGTAAAGATTAGGATCTTTTTTTTCACTGTTTACAAATATTGTTAAATATTAATATAGGATACCAAAAACCGTGGCTCTTCTGAATTCTCAGATATTTGCTCTTTTGAATTTGTTTTGAAGTAAACTTGGTTTAATTCCTCCTACAGTTTTCAGTTTCTTATATTTCTTATATTGCTTCTAAAGCTTTTTTCAGCATATAAATCTTCATTTTGCAAGTGGTTCACGTGCCTTCAGGCTTATGTAAATATTGAACAAACCCTTGGGGTTTTTAAATTTCACTTATCCTTGTTTTATACCAAGGAGTTTAAAGTATGGATGCCAGTGTCCTCTGGACCAATTGAAAGCCACATTTTGCCTCTTGTCAGCTGAGTTATTCTTTGCTTAGTGGTTGGTTTTTGTCTGTCATGTGAGGGGTGTATAGACTACAGAGTCCGAGAGCACGGACATAGGGTTTTATGAGGGGCCGCTGCTGTGGTTCAGGCCTCTGTGGCACCCTGCCTGCTGGTGCAGAAACTCAATACTCTGCAAGTGCTCTGGTCGCAGCTGCAGCTGCGTGCTTCGCTTAGTACATGTTGATTCTCAAGTCATTCAGGATAGAGTGTAAACTTTTGAGCCAGAGTAGGTACTGTTTTCCCTTGGAATCCATGAGGGATGGGTTCCAGAACTCTTTGGTGACCAAGATCTATGGATGCTCAAGTTCCTCATAAAATGGCATAGTGTTTACTTATCTAGGCATATCCTTCTGTATACTCTAAATCATATTCGGGTTCCTCATAGTACCTAATGCATTGTAAATGCTATGCAGATAGTCACTATACTATCTGGTTCAGAGAATGGTGACTAGGGGGACAGTTGATGTATAGATTGAGTAAATGCAGTGTTTTCTTCAGTAGTTTTGACGGGCCGTTGGTTGAATTTGTGGGTGTGGGACTCATGGATATGGAGGGCTGATTGTAGTTGGTTATTTGTTGACTCATTCAACCTGAAATAATGAAATGGCCCAAAAGGATAGATTATCTAGTAAATAATGGCTTTGGTTTTTAAATAAGCACCAAAGAAACATCACCGATCTAAGAATTCTTAAATCCAAGCTATGCAACTGGTAAAGTCTAGGCTGATGTTCAGTGAGGGTCTTGTGGACTTTCCACTTAAAATATATTTTCCTGTGCTGCAGTATAAGAATAATTATCTTAGTGGTTGGTTTTTGTCTGTCATATGAGGTATGTATAGACTGCATAGTTGTCAAACTTTTCTGTAAAGGGCCAGATAGTAAATATTTGGACACTTGTGAGTCATACAGTCTCTAGCAATAACCCAACTCTGTCTTTGTAGCCAGAAAGGTGCCATAGATGATAGGGAAATGCACGGCATACTGTGTTCTAATAAAACTTTATTTAGAAAAATAGACCGTGGGTTGTACCTTGCCAAACCCTGATTCAGAACAGTGGTTCTCAAATTCGAGTGGTTATCAGAAAAACTAGGATGACTTGTTAAGACAGATTTCTCAGTCCTATCCGCAGTGTTTCTTATTGAGTAGGTCATAGGTGGCACTTGAATATTTACATTTCTTTCATGTTCCTGTGTGTTGATGATGCTCTTGATCTGGACCACACTCTGAAAAGCACTGATTTAGAGTTTATCAGTTGAAGTATGACCTGTTTTTATAATTCTGAAATTTCCTGGTCTTTGGGTTTATTTTTGAATGCAGTAAATCCAATACCTAACTTCTTAAAAGGATATTGAAAATGTCTTGGGATTTTTTTGGATAAAGTTTTCAGTGGTTATGAATGCTCATACTTAACAAAGGTGTCATTATGTTAGGCTGAACTTCTGTCACCAGTACGGGGAGACATTGATAGGCAAAATGCCACACTTCCAAAAATTTCTGAAACTGAACCCCAGCGTAGCCCTTCCTTTTTAACTCCTGAAGATTCTACACAGAAAATAGGTAAGTGTTTTTTTTGTTGTTGGTTTTTATAGACAAAAAGTTGTATTTGGAGACTGGTGGTTTGAAGCAAACCATTTTTTAAAAAGCCATGAAGGAAAGTGTTAGTTTGTGATGGCCTTTCCCTTTAATGTCTCCATTGGCAAAGGATGGGAGATATTTTGTTTATATTTTGCTTTGACATTTTAAATCAGATTACTCATAAGAATTGCCAGGTCTCCCTTTAAACATGCAGGAAAACTCAAGTGATGACCTAGAGCAGGAATTGATAAACTTTTCCCATAAATTATACTGATAGCAAATATTTTTGCTTCTTGAATGCATATGGTTTCTGTGGCAGCTATTTAACTCCACAGTTGTAGCACAAAATCGGGCGCAGACAAGATTTAAACCAGTAAGCAGGCTTCTACCAAATGTTATTTACAAAATCGGATGCAAATTGGATTTGGCCTTGGGGTCTGGTTTTGCCAAGTTTTGTTTTGTAAGCATTACCTTAACCCTCCCTGTATCTTATTGGAATTGTTTGTGTCTTTTTAAGTTCATAAGCTTGGGGATTTTTCTTTTGTTCACCTTTATCATTCTACAGTTTAGCTGCTGCCAGGCATATACTGGCACCTAGGAAGCACTGGGCCTCTTAGCTTGGCTGCTACTCATAGAAATGAAAGGAAATGGAAAAGGGAGAGATGAAGATGCAGCATAAAGAGAGAGATGCAGTGAGACAGAAAGTTTGGGGAAAAGGAACAAACTGCAAAACAGAAAACAATTAGCAAAAGGCCACAGTAAGTTCTTACCTATTAACAATTACTTTATTGTAAATGGAATAAATCCTCCAATCAAAAGAAAGAGTGGCTGAATAGCTTAAAGAAACAAGATCCAATGACATGCAAGAAACTTACATTCGTCTTAAGGAAAAACAGACTGAAAATGAAGAGACGAACAAAGATACACTCCATGTAAATGGTAACCAAAAGAGAGCAGAGATGGCTATACTTAATATATACTTTCAAAAATCTGTCATCGATCACAAAGATTAATGTATTATGTTATAGGGGTCAATTCAAGAAGAGGATTTAATAATTGTAAATATATAGGCACCCAGCATTGGAGCACCTAAATATGTAGAGCAAATATTAATAAAATGGAAGGAAAACCAACAGCAATACCATAGTAGTAGGGGACTTCAGAAACCCATTTTCAACAATGGGCATATCATCCAGAAAGAAAATCAGTATGGAAATGGTGGACTTGGATGGCACCGTGGAACAAGGGACCAAACAGACATACAAACATTCCATACAACAGCAGGTACACATTCTCAAGGGTTCACTGGACATTGTCCTGGATATATCTAATGTATGGCCACAAAACATGTCTTAACAAGTTTAAGAGGATTGAAATCATGTCCAGTATCTTTTCTGACAACAGTGGCACAAAATTGAAGTGTTAACGGGGAACTTTTTGGAAAATTCACAAGTGTGTGGACAGTAACATACTTCTGAATAATCAGTGGGTCAGAGAAAATCAAGAGTCTCTTGAGACAAAAGGAAATGGAAAAAGACTACACCAGACCCTATGGGATGCAGCCAAAGCAGCATTTAGAGGGAAGTTCATAAGGATAAAAGCCTACATTAACGACTGGGGCTGTGACTCAGTGGTAGAGCGCTCGCCTAGCACGTGTGAGGTCCTGGGTTCAATCCTCAGCACCACAAATAAACACATGAAGGCATTGTGTCCATCTACAACTAAAAAATTCTTATTTTTTAAAAAAGCTTACATTAGGAAAAAAAGATGTCAAATGAACCAACTAATTCTACACTGCAAGGCACTAAAAATAGAATAAACGAAGACCAAAGTCATGAGAAGAGGGAAAATATTTATGAGGGCAGAAATAAGAGAAATAGACCCTAAGATAATTTAAAAGAGCTACAAACAAATTAGTTCTGTGACACTTGCCTGTAATCCCAGTGGCTCAGGAGGCTGAGGCAGGAGGATCACAAGTTCAAAGCCAACCTCAGCAAAAGCAAGGTTCTAAGCAACTTGGTGAGACTCTGTCTCTAAATAAAATACAAAATGAGGATGTGGCTCAGCAGTCCAATGGTCAAGTGCCCCTAAGTTCAATCCCTGGTACCAAAAAGAAAAGTTTTGTGAAAAGATAAAAGTGACAAACTTTGTCTTATCTAAGAAAAAAGGGGGCTCACATAAAATTAGAGAGTCAGAGAACATGACAACCGATACTACAGAAATACAAAGGATCATAAGATGCTGCTGTAGAAAATTATATGCCAACAAATTGGATCACCTAAAAGGAATGAATAAATTTCCAGACACACAAACCTACCAAGACTGAATCATGAAGTAGAGAATTTGAATAGATTCAAAGTAATGAGACCGAATCAGTAATCAGAAATTTCCCTTCAAAGCAAAGCCCAGGACATGATGGATATATGATTGAATTCTACCGAGCATTTTAAAAGAAATTAGCTGGTCTTCCTGAAACTGTTCCAGAATCCCTTGGAGAAGAGGGAACATTACCAAGTGTACTTTATGAAACCAGCATTACTCTGATACCAAAGCTATATAAAGACACTACAAGAGAAGAATATTACAGGCCAATGTTCCTGTATTATTCAGAAATCTCTATCAATATACAAGTCAATGGATTAAAACAGTACACTGAAAACACTGTGATCAAGTGGGATTTATCACTGGGATGTCAGGATGGTTCAACATATGGAACTAATAAATGGAGAAAACCACGTTAACAGAATGAAGGATAAAATCCTATGACCATTTCAAGAGATGCAGAAAAAGTATTTGGAAAAAAATTCAATAAAAATTAGATGTGTAAGGAATCACCTCAACATTTTTAAGTCAATCTGTGAGAAGCCCACAGTTAATATTGTATTCAGTGGTGAAAACCTGAAAATTTTAAGATCAAAGCAAGCAGCCTACTCTCACCACTTCTACTCAATAAAATTCTGCAAGTCCTAGTCAGAGAAATTGGACAAGACAGAAAAAAGGATCCATACTGGAATGGAAAAAGTTAACTTGTCACTGTTACCAAAAAACTCTTATATAGAGAGAACCACCAAACTTCTTCCACCAGAAATCTCAGAACTGCTAAACCGCTTCCCCTAGAAGTAAAATTATGGAATAATAAGATTAATATATAAAAATCCCTTGTGGTTTTTTCCCCCTGTTTATTCCTGATTCAAATTGGCTGAAGAAAAGGCACTTATCACAACATTTTCCACAAAGATGAACTAAAGTAATAGATATATGGCTGCATTTTTGAGATGAGCATTGAGGAGAGACATTTAAAAGCAGCTAAAGACTGAAACCTGAAAGATTTAGAGACTTAAGAATAACAGTATAGTGAGAAAAATAAAATACCCTGGTATATGAGGGTCTGCAGATAGGAGTCCTGCTTACATGGGATAAGAGTGGAAAAAGTCCACTGGGTACAGTGGCACACACCGGTAGTCCCAGAGGCTTGTGAGGCTGAGGCTGAAGGATCATGAGTTCAAAGCCAGCCTCAGCAAAAGCGAGGTTCTTAGCAATTCAGTGAGATCCTGTCTCTAAATGCAATACAAAATAGGGCTGAGGATGTGGCTCAGTGGTTGAGTGCCCCTGCGTTCAATCCCCGGTACCATCTCCCACCAAAAAATAAAATAATAAATCCTAGAAAACTCAACCAGTATGGATGCTGACAATCCTAAACACTGAAGAGTTTCAATCCTCATGTGCTTGCAGCTCACTTGGACAAGTGATCTGAAATCTGCTCGGTAGCCTTGCTTTGGGAAAGGATCTCTGGTTATCTCCCTGTAACGCCCCCCCAGTGCTGTAGCTAGGAGCCAGCTTGAGCAGTGATCAGTCGTCTGTCTGGGCTGCTCTAGGTGTCAGAACCTCCTGCGTATTCCTGCCTCCAGGACTCCACAGACACTCCACCACACTCACTTGTGGGTCACTGTCACATGACCCCTACACGGTACAGCAGAACAACTGTGACTGAAGTCCACTGGGTGCCCTGCAAGAGAGAGGTGTTGGGACAAGGAGGAGAATGGAGGACACTGCCTTCAAGAACCAAGAGGGTGGAGCCCTTGCCCTATGAGACTAAAGGTGTGGTCAGCTGCACAGGGACTCCTGCTAAATGCCAGGACTGCAGGCGGGCGCTCCCCCACCATACCGCATTCAGATGCCCAGTACTGGCAGGTTGGGGAGGGAACTACTAGTTCCGTCATTCAACACCCCTTCATAATAAAAGCTCTCAACAAGTGAGAGATGGAAAGATCCTGCCTCAACTACTAAAAGCTACATATGCAAAACTGTTGCCAACGTCATACTCCATGAGGGAAAGCGGAGAGCATTTCCTCTACGATCATGGACAGTACAAGTATGTCTTTTCATTGCTTTTATTTACATAGCAGAGCTTTTGGAAAGAAAAGGCATCCAATGTGAGGAAATGAAAATATCTCTGTAGGTATTATTCTATATGTAGAAATTCAAATATTCCACCAAGAGACTATTAGAATTGATAAACTCGGTAAAGTAGCAGGATGCAATGTCAACATAAAATATCTGTTTTCTATATACCAATAACAAAGTTCACTGAAAAAAAATAATGAAGGCATTTCTTCGTACTAGCTACAAATAAATAAAATATCCCAGGAATTAATCAAAGAAACAATCTCTCTACAGGAATAATCAGACAGATGAGAGAATTTGTAAATAGAAGATGAAAAGACTTTCCTTGTTCATGATTGAAGAATTGATAGCTTAAATGTCCAGATGGTCCAGTGCAATCTATAGATTCCATGCATTTTCCACCAAAATACCCATAAAATTCTTCACAGAACTAGAAAAATATAGTAACATTCATATGGAAGCCCAAACTACACTAAATAGCCAAAGGAATCTTTTAAAAATAGCAAATAATATATATTCCTGGATAAAGAAACTTATGATATCCATATCCACAAATGATTCAATTTAGTAAGGACTTT